GGTGTAACATCTTCTGTTGTGGGGGTTTTGTGTTGTGAGTTGGTCAGACGTGGGGTAGCTCTGTTTTTCACAGCAAACCAAACTCGCTCAGCCATGTCCGGACCATGTGGTTTTCCGGAGATCAAGCACTTCTGTCCTCGGACGCCCATCATCCTGGTTGCCTGCCAGCTGGATCAGCGCTAACTGCTGACACTGGATGCAGTTAATCGAGCTCGCTCGACCCTAGACCGAAGGGTGAGAAACTTTCTACCAGCGTTAAACCAGAATTTAAGATTACATGAAATAATATAGACGTCACTATTTTAAGCCACTTTTCTAACCCTTTTCATGTTTTAGATATGTGAAATAATGTCTTGAAAGGGGAAATATGATCCCTCATAAAGTATAAACAGGATATTAGCCTGTAACTCCCTGTGCTTCCACCAGAGGGACGGAGTTGAATTAATTGATTGACTGCGGAACCTTCCGCAGTCAACCATTGGTTTTGTATTTCTTTATTCCTGTCATTTTTTGATTGACTGCGGAACTTTACGCAGTCAACCATTGGTTTTTGTATTTCTTTATTCCGTCATTTTTTTTGACGCACGTTTCACAGCTTTCCATTTTCAACAATTTCCACAAGTTATACATCAAAACGTTCCACATGTTTGGGAGATTAATGCAAATTACTTTTGGGACTCAGCGATTTCCGGTTTTTCCGCAATCGGACAAAAAATCTGCATTGAGAATTCTGCAATGCATTTTAATAGGCCCATGCAATTTAATAGGACTTCAGCTCTTTCAGACAATTTCTACAGTTTCAATGATTCAACAGTTTCAAGGATTCAAACAGTTTCAAGGATTTCAGCAGTTTCAAGATTTCAAGAGTTTCAAGGACTTCAACAGTTTCAAGTACTTCAGCAGTTTCAAGGACTTCAGCAGTTTCAAGGACTTCAGCAGTTTCAAGGACTTCAGTGTAAATCATGCAACCTAATAGGGATTTTTCCATGTAAACCAGTATAATGCAACTTAATAGGGATTTTTCCATGTAAACCAGTATAATGCAACTTAATAGGGTTTTTTCATGTAAACCAGTATAATGCAACTTAATAGGGTTTTTTTTTTCATGTAAACCAGTATAATGCAACTTAATGGGATTTTTCCATGTAAACCAGTATAATGCAACTTAATAGGGGTTTTTCCAATGTAAACCAGTATAATGCAACTTAATAGGGTTTTTTCCATGTAAACCAGTATAATGCAACTTAATAGGGTTTTTTCCATGTAAACCAGTACAATGCAACTTAATAGGGATTTTTCCATGTAAACCAGTATAATGCAACTTAATGGGGATTTTTCCATGTAAACCAGTATAATGCAACTTAATGGGGATTTTTCCATGTAAACCAGTATTATGCAACATCAATAGGGATTTTTCCATGTAAACCAGTATAAATGCAACTTAATAGGGATTTTTCCATGTAAACCATATAATGCAACTTAATGGGGATTTTTCCATGTAAACCAGTATTATGCAACTTAATAGGGATTTTTCCATGTAAACCAGTATAATGCAACTTAATAGGGTTTTTTTCATGTAAACCAGTATAATGCAACTTAATAGGGTTTTTACATGTAAACAGTATAATGGAACTTAATAGGGGTTTTTACATGTAAACCAGTATAATGGAACTTAATAGGGGTTTTTACATGTAAACCAGTATAATGCAACTTAATAGGGATTTTTACATGTAAACCAGTATAATGCAACTTAATAGGGATTTTTCCATGTAAACCAGTATAATGCAACTTAATAGGGATTTTTACATGTAAACCAGTAATAATGCAACCTTAATAGGGATTTTTCCATGTAAACCAGTATAATGCAACTTAATAGGGATTTTTCCATGTAAACCAGTATAATGCAACTTAATAGGGATTTTTCCATGTAAACCAGTATAATGCAACTTAATAGGGATTTTTCCATGTAAACCAGTATAATGCAACTTAATAGGGATTTTTCCATGTAAACCAGTATAATGCAACTTAATAGGGATTTTTCCATGTAAACCAGTATAATGCAACTTAATAGGGGTTTTTACATGTAAACCAGTATAATGCAACTTAATAGGGTTTTTTTCATGTAAACCAGTATAATGCAACTTAATAGGGATTTTTCCATGTAAACCAGTACAATGCAACTTAATAGGGATTTTTCCATGTAAACCAGTATAATGCAACTTAATAGGGTTTTTTTCATGTAAACCAGTATAATGCAACTTAATAGGGATTTTTCCATGTAAACCAGTATAATGCAACTTAATAGGGTTTTTTACATGTAAACCAGTATAATGCAACTTAATAATGGGATTTTTCCATGTAAACCAGTATTATGCAACTTAATAGGGATTTTTCCATGTAAACCAGTATAATGCAACTTAATAGGGATTTTTCCATGTAAACCAGTATAATGCAACTTAATGGGGTTTTTTTCATGTAAACCAGTATAATGCAACTTAATGGGGATTTTTCCATGTAAACCAGTATTATGCAACTTAATAGGGATTTTTCCATGTAAACCAGTATAATAGCAACTTAATAGGGTTTTTTCATGTAAACCAGTATAATGCAACTTAATAGGGTTTTTACATGTAAACCAGTATAATGGAACTTAATAGGGGTTTTTACATGTAAACCAGTATAATGCAACTTAATAAGGATTTTTACATGTAAACCACTATAATGTAACCTAATAGGGGTTTTTACATGTAAACCAGTATAAAGCAACTTAATAGGGATTTGTACATGTAAACCAGTATAATGCAACCTAATAGGGATTTTTCCATGTAAACCAGTATAATGCAACTTAATAGAGATTTTTCCATGTAAACCAGTATAATGCAACATTAATAGGGATTTTTCCATGTAAACCAGTATAATGCAACCTAATAGGGATTTTTCCATGTAAACCAGTATAATGCAACCTAATAGGGATTTTTCCATGTAAACCAGTATAATGCAACCTAATAGGTTGCATTATACCACCAGACCAAGACCCAACGAAGACTCAGACCACCACCAGATAATGACCACAGACCAGGTTTCCTTAGTTACAGGAACCAAATTGTTTCAGCGGTGAGGGGATTTTTCAGTTTCAAGGACACTTTCAATACATTCAGTAGTTTCAAGGATTTCAACTGTTTAAGAATTTAACCAGTTTCAAGGATATCAGGAGGTTCAAGGATTTCAGGAGTTTCCACACTTTCAACAGTTTCCAGGTTTAAAAAAGTTTCAAGGATTTCAGGAGTTTCAATGTTTCAACAGTTTCAAGGATTTCAGGAGTTTAAAAGGTTTCAACAATTTCAAGGACTTCAGGAGTTTCAAATATCTATCAAGTATTTTAACAGTTTCAAGGCCTTTTAAAGGATTTTCAAGGATTTTTTTTAGCAGATTTCCACATTAGATCTGTTCCGCAGTCAATCGCAATGGCTTCAGCCATTGCAAGTTTTCTAGTTTTTCCGGACACGTTTCACAGCTTTCACATTTTCAACAATTTCCACAAGTTATACATCAAAACGTTCCACATGTTTGGGAGATTATTGCTATTACTTTTGGGACTTCAGCGATTTCCGGTTTTTCCGCAATCGGACAAAAATCTGCATTGAGAATTCTGCAATGCATTTTAATAGGCCCATGCATTTTAATAGGACTTCAGCTCTTTCAGACATTTCTACAGTTTCAATGATTCAACAGTTTCAAGGATTCAACAGTTTCAAGGATTTCAGCAGTTTCAAGATTTCAAGAGTTTCAAGGACTTCAACAGTTTCAAGGACTTCAGCAGTTTCAAGGACTTCAGCAGTTTCAAGGACTTCAGCAGTTTCAAGGACTTCAGTGTAATCATGCAACCTAATAGGGATTTTTCCATGTAAACCAGTATAATGCAACTTAATAGGGATTTTTCCATGTAAACCAGTATAATGCAACTTAATAGGGTTTTTTCATGTAAACCAGTATAATGCAACTTAATAGGGTTTTTTTTCATGTAAACCAGTATAATGCAACTTAATGGGGATTTTTCCATGTAAACCAGTATAATGCAACTTAATAGGGGTTTTTACATGTAAACCAGTATAATGCAACTTAATAGGGTTTTTTCCATGTAAACCAGTATAATGCAACTTAATAGGGTTTTTTCCATGTAAACCAGTACAATGCAACTTAATAGGGATTTTTCCATGTAAACCAGTATAATGCAACTTAATGGGGATTTTTCCATGTAAACCAGTATAATGCAACTTAATGGGGATTTTTCCATGTAAACCAGTATTATGCAACTTAATAGGGATTTTTCCATGTAAACCAGTATAATGCAACTTAATAGGGATTTTTCCATGTAAACCAGTATAATGCAACTTAATGGGGATTTTTCCATGTAAACCAGTATTATGCAACTTAATAGGGATTTTTCCATGTAAACCAGTATAATGCAACTTAATAGGGTTTTTTTTCATGTAAACCAGTATAATGCAACTTAATAGGGTTTTTACATGTAAACCAGTATAATGGAACTTAATAGGGTTTTTACATGTAAACCATATAATGGAACTTAATAGGGGTTTTTTACATGTAAACCAGTATAATGCAACTTAATAAGGATTTTTACATGTAAACCACTATAATGTAACCTAATAGGGGTTTTTACATGTAAACCAGTATAAAGCAACTTAATAGGGATTTGTACATGTAAACCAGTATAATGCAACCTAATAGGGATTTTTCCATGTAAACCAGTATAATGCAACTTAATAGGGATTTTTCCATGTAAACCAGTATAATGCAACTTAATAGGGATTTTTCCCATGTAAACCAGTATAAATGCAACTTAATAGGGATTTTTCCATGTAAAACCAGTATAATGCAACTTAATAGGGATTTTTCCATGTAAACCAGTATAATGCAACTTAATAGGGATTTTTCCATGTAAACCAGTATTTTAATAGGGGTTTTTACATGTAAACCAGTATAATGCAACTTAATAGGGTTTTTTTCATGTAAACCAGTATAATGCAACTTAATAGGGATTTTTCCATGTAAACCAGTACAATGCAACTTAATAGGGATTTTTCCATGTAAACCAGTATAATGCAACTTAATAGGGTTTTTTCATGTAAACCAGTATAATGCAACTTAATAGGGATTTTTCCATGTAAACCAGTATAATGCAACTTAATAGGGTTTTTTACATGTAAACCAGTATAATGCAACTTAATGGGGATTTTTCCATGTAAACCAGTATTATGAACAACTTAATAGGGATTTTTCCATGTAAACCAGTATAATGCAACTTAATAGGGATTTTTCCATGTAAACCAGTATAATGCAACTTAATGGGGTTTTTTCATGTAAACCAGTATAATGCAACTTAATGGGGATTTTTCCATGTAAACCAGTATTATGCAACTTAATAGGGATTTTTCCATGTAAACCAGTATAATGCAACTTAATAGGGTTTTTTTCATGTAAACCAGTATAATGCAACTTAATAGGGTTTTTACATGTAAACCAGTATAATGGAACTTAATAGGGGTTTTTACATGTAAACCAGTATAATGCAACTTAATAAGGATTTTTACATGTAAACCACTATAATGTAACCTAATAGGGGTTTTTACATGTAAACCAGTATAAAGCAACTTAATAGGGATTTGTACATGTAAACCAGTATAATGCAACCTAATAGGGATTTTTCCATGTAAACCAGTATAATGCAACTTAATAGAGATTTTTCCATGTAAACCAGTATAATGCAACTTAATAGGGATTTTTCCATGTAAACCAGTATAATGCAACCTAATAGGGATTTTTCCATGTAAACCAGTATAATGCAACCTAATAGGGATTTTTCCATGTAAACCAGTATAATGCAACCTAATAGGTTGCATTATACCACCAGACCAAGACCCAAACGAAGACTCAGACCACCACCAGATAATGACCACAGACCAGGTTTCCTTAGTTACAGGAACCAAATTGTTTCAGCGGTGAGGGGATTTTTCAGTTTCAAGGACACTTTCAATACATTCAGTAGTTTCAAGGATTTCAACTGTTTAAGAATTTAACCAGTTTCAAGGATATCAGGAGGTTCAAGGATTTCAGGAGTTTCCACACTTTCAACAGTTTCCAGGTTTAAAAAAGTTTCAAGGATTTCAGGAGTTTCAATGTTTCAACAGTTTCAAGGATTTCAGGAGTTTAAAGGTTTCAACAATTTCAAGGACTTCAGGAGTTTCAAATATCTATCAAGTATTTTAACAGTTTCAAGGCCTTTTAAAGGATTTCAAGGATTTTTTTTAGCAGATTTCCACATTAGATCTGTTCCGCAGTCAATCGCAATGGCTTCAGCCATTGCAAGTTTCTAGTTATTATTTTTTTTACCAAATTTGCAAATTACCAGCTACAAACAAACCCATTTGATGTATAAAGAATTTCATTTCAGCTGATTTCGACAGATTTAATTTAGGGGAAATGTAGCATGATGAGTTACAATTACCTCATAATATTACAGGTTTAAGAAAATACTTTTTAGATAGAATGGGTGGAGTTCTATGTTTGTGCCAGATATTCCAGATCAGCATGAATAAATCTAAAAAACAACTTTAAATTAAGAAACAATCTTATGACTTGATTAAAGCCTAGAAAGGTAGATTTACTTTTAAGATCATTTTGGCACTTGTTACCGCACTTCCCAATTTGACCCGAGTGCACACCATTTTCTTCCCCTTTCTTTACTCTGTTTTTTTATTCACACGAACATCACACACATCGCACTATGCACATGAGGAGAGATCACAAGCGAACACACACAAACTAAATACTCAAAACAAGATTATCAGATGTAAATGGGCGGCACGGTAGCTGAGTGGATAACCCTCGCCTTTCTGAGTGAAGTTTGCATGTTCTCTTTGTGTCTGCGTAGGTTTCCTCCGGGTACTCCGGTTTCCCCTACCACTAAAAACATGTGCAATACTTCAGGATGAATGAGTTTGTGGTTGTGAGTGCGAATGTGGGACAACGGATGCAAATTAGTCCAAGGTTACAAGGCTACAGGAGTGATGTGTTCATTAACATGTACTGTCCCAACCAAATTAACAATGAATAAATACGGTATTATAGAATAAGTCAAATCTTTGGGTTTAAAAATCCTGCTACTCTTACTACTGCTACTACTAGTAATACTACTACTATTGCTACTATTTCAACTTTTAAAACTCAACATATTACATAACATCAGTGGTTCAACTAAGTATCTATTCTCTACAGACCCATCAAACCAACAGACATTCTCCCTCCAGAAAGAGGCCACGAGGTCGCAAAGGAACTTGGTATCCCTTACTACGAAACGAGTATTGTAGCTCAGTTTGGAGTCAAGGATGTTTTCGACAACGCCATCCGAGCCGCTCTCATCTCCCGTCGGCACCTGCAATTCTGGAAATCACATCTGAAAAAGGTCCAGAGGCCTCTGCTCCAGGCTCCCTTCCTGCCCCCACGCCCCCCACGACCCATAGTAGGCATCCCAGACCCTCCCCCCTGCGACGGCGAAGGCCCTGACTCCCTGTTCTGCCTGCCACTCTGCGCAGATGTCCTGTTTCTTCTCCAGGAGGGTGCTAGTAGAGTATTTGCACACAAAGTCTATCTTGCCACATCTTGTTCCAAATTCTACGACCTATTCACTCTAGATTTAGGTGGGTTGTCAAAGGGGCAGGTGGTGCAGGATCAGGAGAGCAGAGAAAACATGGAGCTTGGGGAAGAAGATGAACATACAAGGAGAGGAGCGAAGGAGCAAGCGGGTCGTACCAAAAGCTTAGACACTGACAAAGATGGCATTCAAGGAGGGGTTCCAGTGTTGAATCGACCTCAGCTCCTGCAGCAGGGCTCTCTGAGGACTTCACAGAGTGATAATGCTCTCCCTTCTCGAGCCCGGTATACCCTGGGAGTGCTGGGGACCGGACGAGCGCTCTCAGGATGGGGAAGGGGCTTTCTGAGTGTTTGTTTGGAGCATGTAGATGACCCTACGACAGGACGTCCCCGGCTCATGACTGTGGTCGCCATGGATGCGCTCATACAGGAGGAACCTTTCAAGGTATTCAGATGTAAACCAGTGCAGCTGTTGATTATTTTAGTAAGCTGCATATTGTATACATGTTTTAGATAACAAGCATAATTCAAAGTTAAAGCATACTATATATAATGTTTGAATTTCAAAATCAGTATGTTTTTTTTGGTGCAGTCCAGCATTATTCTCCTTAAAATGTACAAAACTATAGACCCTCATTCACAAAATCAGCTTGTCCTGGGAATTTTACCGTGAACAGTGATATCGTAAATGTTCTGGGAATAATGATCTGTGTTCTATTATTTTTTGTTGTATTATTTATTTATTTATTTGCAGTGATCTGATTATAATGCACAATTTGCTAACATATGGCTTGCTCGCTCAGTGTGACTTTCATTTGGCCAGGCTGTGCTCCAGTACCTTTACACCGGCAGCTTGGACGAGGGTCGAGGTGATCTGATGCAGGTGGCTACTATAGCGGAGCTGCTGGAAGTGTTTGACCTGCGGATGATGGTGGCCAATGTGCTGAACCGGGAGAGCTTCATGAACCAAGAGATCACCAAGGCTTTCCATGTGCGCAGGGCCAACCGCATCAAGGAGTGTCTCAGCAAGGGGACCTTCGCTGGTAAAGCTCACACACAAACTATAGCTTCAAAGACATGCGGCATAAAAAGAGGAATATTTTCTTTTTTGAATCTATTGGCGGTTACTTGTCCCTTAGTAGGAACATTTCAGTGTCACCTTGCACATTCAAGTAACAGCAGGAATAACAGCACTCTTTAAAGATAGTTTTCTCAAAAAATTGTCCAATCCAGGGCGCTTGGACTCTACAAACACAGTCACGCTCTATAATGAACTGCAGAAAATCACTACGAAAGGTTTCATTTGTGAACTCCACAAAGAAGGGTGAATTGTGATATTCATTGAAGATTTTTTTGCCACGCACATCATGAATATCCTCCGTGTTCTGTTAAGAATTCTATACAGATGTGTTAAGTAACCTTAAGAATGTTACAAATCAGGCAAATATTAAGTTCCTTGTGGCTATGTATTAACAGCATAAAACATACTTAGCCCTGTCCAGCTCTCATTTTGCTAATTTGGCCTACAACCAAAATTAGTTTGACTCAGTTTTATGCTTAAATGAGTCTGGGGACACAGATAGAGGATGTAGATGTACTTTTAAATTTAACATTTTACATACCATTCTTTTTGCAGTTCTGCTTTTGGGTCCTTCCGTGTTTATCCGTGACACATGTCTGCATATCCCTATAACACAGGATTACTCTTAACATAAATCAATCAACACAAACTTTGTGGATGGAAATTACATAGTAATAGAACAATTAAAAGTTTAGTTTTACATATACATGTTGCTTTTAAAGAAAATGTATTAAAGTAAGTAAAGTCATGATTAAAGTTTCTCCAGAATCTTTCTCCAACCTCTATCTGTCATCTGGTTCCCTTCCTGAGTTTAAAGCTGCTCCATGGCACATTGTAGAATCCTATCTTTTAAGTAAATGTGAATCTCCCACTCTTTGTGAATCAGTCTTTGTCTCAGTGTTTCCTGTAGTCTCTGTCGTCCTCCACATTAACTCTTTCCCGCACTGTTTCAGATGTGGCGTTCCAGCTGGATGATGGCTGTCTTCCGGCTCACAAGCCTCTCCTCATATCCAGCTGTGACTGGATGGCTGCAATGTTCCGTGGCTCCTTTATGGAAAGCTACACAGACGAGGTGGGTCCATCACTGGTGCCGTCATCACCGGGACAATATCTGAGCTTTGAAAATTCTAAAGCGCTTGGGTTGACATTGGTTTGTAAATTGTGCTATAATAAACATTACTTACTTACTGGTTTAATTCACCAGGCTGATATACTCTAAGTGCTACAGAAGAATTCATGGTCAAATAGAATGTAATACAGGTATAATTTAAATAATTATTAGATATTGTTCCAATCACATTTTATATCACCTTTAGAAAGTGAGATGTATCTGATTACTTTTCTAATCAATTGCCATCACTAGGCATTTTCCATGCTGCTGTTTTTATTCAATTAATTAAATACGTGTGTTTTTGCAAATTCACCCTTCTGCAATATAATTTTCAAGAGCACTTCAGGATCCTGTACATTAATACCAATATTCATGCCTTATGTATTTTTGTATAATTGGCAAATACACTTCTTTTATCTTGTACTACAGGGGAATGTTTTGTAAATGTATTTATGAATTAGGGTTGGCCTTGTGACTGAGAGGTGACCGTGCCTTTAGAGCTGGATTGGATACTCTTGAGTACGCTCTGTCCTTAGACTCACATTCAGGCCACGGCATTTCTGCTGGGCCAGACGGAGAACCACAGGAAGTAGATTAGCTCACCACTTCTTTGCTCTGCGGACAACCAGATCCCTCAAGTATAGTTTCTTTTGTGGCTGACCGTTACACCCAGGTGTTAAATAGTAAAGAAGGTTCCACATATTTTCACATTTCACATTTTGTGTTAACTTGAATTAAATTCAATCACACTGTGTGAGTGGGTGAGAAAATGTTAGCTGCAGACTGGATGTGGGGGCACAGTGGACTGCGGGTGGGCTGTTTGTGGCCATGGTTACATTACATACAGTTTTTGAGCTACTGTTCCCTCAACCTTGTTTTCATTTTAGGCTTTGCAAGTATTCCTTTGTCACCGTTTCAAATCATTTGGGAATCTTATTTCACTTCTGTAATAAGAGAAGTGAAACTCTGGCCACTTTCTCACATATATCATTTTGGCCTTCCTCATTCATGACTCAAAATGTTGCATATTTTACCCTTATGTTTGGTGAGGTTTGTGATGTGACGTCCTGGGTGGTCATGGAATTAATGTTAAACTGAATAGAAATTGGGGGCTCAAATTGTGAACTCTGCATCACTTCCTGTATTATTTAACTCAAAAATGTTATAAATATTTACAAAGGGTTCAGTTCCACCAAAACAAAAGTCATCAGTCACTTTAAGGTACCCACGGCGCGGACATCCTTCAGTTCTGGGGACCACCCGCGTCCTGCCATTGTTGTTTACTACTATTAGCAATAGGTCACCATGCTGACATTCTCTATAATTGGTTATGGAAGCTGGGGTGAAAGAGTGTCTCAGTGAGGAGCTCTCTGTGGGGTCAGGCTCTTGCTCTCATTATTATTTAGGATCCTTCCGTGTTACAGTCCCAGAGAGAGCACAGGTGAATGCATGCTGCCTCTATCCTGCAGTATTTAGGATAAAGGGCAGGCTTCTGTCTAGATGTGTGGCTCAGTGGTGATTTAATGACTGAAATGTATGAATTTGAATGTATTATTTGTCCCACCATATTTCTGTTAAAACGTTGTACTCTACCTCTTTGGATTTGCCCAGGTCAAGTTTAATAACAGAGGACCAAGCTATCTAGAGATAGTCACTGTAGATTTACCTTTTTTCATTGGCCTTTCTGATGCACTGAGCTGCATTATTTTATAAATGTATTTTACTCTATGTAATTACATCAGTTATTTTTTTTATTACATCTTAAAATACAAACATACTGTACAGTGAAATAGACATGTTTAGAATGGTTAGTATAGGAACGTAAAGGTACTGTGTGGTGTTAGCCACATCCTTCAGCAGGAAATTAGCTAAACATAGAGAATATAATCTGCATTGACTCTAGTATAGTAGGATTGTAGACCTATCCCATGTACTTGTCTAATACCGATTCTACGTTATTTTTACAGGTGTCTATCCCAAACACAAGCACAGCATGCATGAGAGGGGTACTAGAGTTTCTCTACTGTGGTCTACTGACTCCAAGTTCAGGTCTGGAGCCCATGGAACTCATCGTTCTAGCCAACCGCCTGTGTTTACCTCGCCTTGTTGCCCTCACTGGTACATTTGTGTTTCATTGTAAAATTTGAATTCTAAAGTTCACTGGGAAAGAGACCATCACATACAATTTACTTCGACAGAACAACATGCTGTCGATGAGCTTCTGCAGTTTGCAGTGAAAGGGATGGATATTGATGGGCAAGTGTTGGCCTACTTGGAACTGGCACAGGTTAGAAACCAAAAACCGAACTTGTTCATTTATTTTGTGCCATTAATGAATTCATTATTTCTGTATATTTCCCTCTGTTGTAGTTTCACAATGCCAAACAACTCTCAGCTTGGTGTCTTCATCACATCTGCACTAACTACAACAGCATATGTCGCAAGTTTCCCAAAGACATGAAGGCAATGTCTCAAGGTACAGTTTCTGTAAACCATGATGCAGTTTTCAAGTAAACATGGATGTTATTCCTTTACAAGCTTCACATTAACATATGTTTGTTCAGATAACCAGAAACACTTTGAGAAGCAGCGTTGGCCTCCTGTGTGGTTCCTGAAGGAGGAGGACCGTTATCTGCGTTCCCAAAAAGAGCGCCAGCGTGAGGAGGAGATACTGCGCAAACAGCACACCAAAAGAGGCTGGTGTTTCTGGAGACACCCGTCTTCTTCTCCACACATCTCCTGAAGTGTGCTGCCGGCTCACTGAGAGAACTGTTGCAGTACTACGCCTGAATGTTGGATGAATGTTGGCTACTTTGCAGAGTGCCGTTGGGTTCTGGTGTGTGATGAGGTGGTTTTGATATGTAGCTGTGAGTGGGTGACACTTGTTCACAGTGTAGCCCTTCTGTCCCTCCACTTGAATCGTCCCTCCAGCAACAGAGAGCCCAGTCTTTTAGGGTGCTCTGGGTGCAAGAGCACTGCTCAGTCTCCATCCTTCACTCTGACCTTAAGGCTCCCTGTGTGGAGCTTAACTCTGCCTTCACTTGTACACAGACTGTTAGCTTACACACGCACAGACACTATAACCCCTCCAAAACCAGCACTGAGAACATGGACAATGACATTTCAGTTATCATAGGACGCCATGGATACTTGATTTTAACATTCATTGAAAAAATAAATAATAATACAAGCAGGTGTACGTAACATGACAACGTCCATCAACAAGCTCACAAAATCTGCAGACACCTATTGTGTATTTTGAGTCAGTTTGCAATTACATGCATTTATTAATGATTTGAACTAATCCCTATGCACTTGCATTTCTTCTGACTCACAAACTATTTGAGGGCCTCTTTATTAGCAGAAGAATAAGTGTCTAATATTACTAACAACTATACCTGTTTCATAATACCAAAGCTGTGATTTATTTTTATCAGACTTTTGCTAAGAAAATATAGTTAGAGAGTCAACAGAAAGAGGGTTTATGTTTTTGTCTGGGAAGAGTCTAACAGAGGTTAAAACTGCCATCCATTTCCTCTTGCTGCAACTGAAAATGGTGCTTAATATAATTATTTTGTGTCATCAAGATTTGATGGTTTCTTGAGAATAGTTGGGTTTACCACAAAACAATGTATAAGGCAATCCAATAGGGGAGCATTGTGATTCATAACATGTACAGGGTGGTCACAGAGGGTGATGGTTTTCTGTTCTGTTATAATATTCTTCTTAAGCAGAAGATAGTGCTTAGTGATTGAATAGTTGGGGTGCCAGTGACAGTACTGATTTGCTGTAAATGTATGTGAAAACGAGACTTTGTGGTGATGACTTTCTATTAACACATTGTTCTATTTGTGCTTGCGTGCCCCTTAGCATCACCAGTGTGACTCCTACAGAGAGATGGATCGTGTGAGACACGTGGTATTCTCCATGGTTATTGTCAGCTACAGAAATAGAAGGTAGAAAGGATCTCACAAGACTTAAGTGAGAACTCAGCAATTTCCTATTTGAATTGTGTGTTAGTGAGGGAATAGCCAAACACAGGCTCCATCTGTCTGTGCAGTATATGCAACCAGCGACATTTGTTTTCTTCTCAGATGGACGTCTGCCTCCCTGTATAAACAGGTGTATTTTGGGATTTAGGTTGTTGCATGGGGCTGATCAGTAATTATTGTCCTACTGTCCATGTGCCTTATAATATTTGGACAATGAGCGTCAAGTAGGATTTCAACCAAATTCTCAGTAGAAAAACGCAGACTGGTTCTGTGGTAGATAATTCACAATAATCATAAAAAGGTTGATAGTGTTGTTTTATGCACTCTTAGCCATTGTTTCAAATCAAGAGGTCTTCTGAGCCAACCTGAGCCATGCCTGTTGAGCACCTTTGTCTGTTAGTCATAGATTTGTTGACAGATGGCCTTCACTTTTTATTTATTTATTATTGTAATAGCAACTTTGGCCTTAGAATTGTCTGCTTTTTTCAGATTGTGCTTTTGTTTGGTTAAAAGAAACTTTTATAGAGAAAGATAATAAAGTGATGGTTAGAAAGGTTTTTCCTGCAGTCTACAGAGTTAAGCACTGGCTGGTCTCGGTGTTGGGTGCACGGTTAGTCTTTACAATGACACTTTGTGTTGGAATGCACTTTCTTTTTTATGTTTATTACTATAACTGTGCTTAACACAAATGGTTTATTGTGTAACATGTTTAATGATTGTAGCATGCTTTTTACGCCTGTACACTAGAAATGGTTATTGTTCAACTCTGCAGTAGCTGTTAATTTGCTATATTGCTTTATGCACAAATCAGCTTTACTAAATGAGCTAATTGCAGCTCAAAGTAGCATGATATACTAGGCAAGCACATCCTAATATGCAAACGAACGGATTTTACACCAAAGTGTTTTAAACGGTAAAATGTCCAAACTGTAATATTGAATTATAGACAAACAAAAATAATCACTAAAACTATGAAAATGAGTGTGCACACGGTGGCTTGCCCCCTATATGCACATGGATTTATACATTTTAATCATGGTATTTCCTTTTCACTGCTTGCTCAAAAGTATCTTTATGAATTTTAAGGTATGGGAAAATGTGAAAAATAACTTATTGATAAATGTGCAACCCTGACACCTATTGGCCAAACTCTGTTTAAGCGTATTACAAAGCCTCCATTCTGTAGAGTCTGTCATCACTATTAGTTAGGCATCTCCTTTTTGTGCCTTAAGAAACATCTCACTCTTTTGGCTGTGCACAGGCACTGCACTCGCACCTTTCTGAGCTCAAAAGAGTCAGCAATATTAAGAAACACAAGATCACAGAACAACAGCGACAGCTCTCATGTCTGTCTTGGAGCTTTTAGCCACTACTTCCTTGAAGACATTATAGACAATTGATAAACTTCCACCATCACGTCTGCATAATGTCAATGCTAATATGCTTTATTGTCATATTTCCAACCCATCAGTTAAAGCAGTGTTCTTTTCCAGTGTTGCATCCATGAAGGTGCCTGTTTGTCACATGTAGTCTATTACTACTTCACTGTATTGTGTGGACATGTCCACTTCTTGACCATGTGCTTTTAGGTCATCCTCTCTTCAAGCCAAATTAAGTTATATAACCTTTTGTTGCTTTGCTATTAATGATTTGTTGAATTATAGGCTACTGCAATGTTGTGAGGAGACTTATGTATATGATGCTTTAAGTCACCATCCAGCGGTGTTAAATAGACAAAGCAAAAGTTTTCTCTATGCTTCATGTATTGATGTGTTTGTATGAGGCCCAGTGTTCCTGGGCACTATACTTCGACTGTCATGGTGTGTAACCCATGGTATAGTGTTGACGCTGTAATATTATGATGCACCTTGGTTCCTAATGACTCTTACTGAGTGGGTTTTTATTAACTTTATTACTACCACTTGTGTATATTACAATAAAAGGTAAAACGAGCACACAATACACAACAAAACTATCAAGGGCTTTCAAACAGTCTACAACAATCAGAATGTTTTTGGAGCTGTTGCAAAAAGGTTGTGAAATTTAACGTTTTTAATATTTTTAAACCACTGATTTGTAAAAAAATATATATATATATTAAAAACGTGATAAAAAGCTTCTTTTTGCCATTTCAGTATTTTGATGTTGTTGGACATGGGTTTATTAAAATTGTTTAACTTTTAAATGTGTCTGTTTTCTTTGCCATTCTTAGAGAGGTCACGATCATACAGTCAGTGTTGATCAGTTGTTCCATCAACATATACTGTATAACTCCAAACTGCAACCCAAACAAGGAATTCCTTTAGTCCATAAATGTATAATGCATTTTTTTTTTGAGGATTTAGTTCATGTTTTTTACTTTTACTAAAAAAGAAAAACAAATATTCTCAAATATGTTGCTCAATCAAAGTTTTAGAAATGTTGAAATAGTGCATGTATCAAATCAACATAATTCTCTATCAAGACTGGTTTATGTTTCACCCTAAATGTTGGGTTGAGGTGAAGCATAACCATAAAAGATGTCTACACACAGATGTAAGCAAGTACAATGTGCAAGTTTTTCCGTTTCAAGGTTTGCTAAGCTGTGTGCGAGGCCTGTTCTTACACACCTGTCACTGAGTTGGATGAGCAAAGTTTTACGCTTGTAATGCCTTAAATCGGTTTGAAATTCTTTAAAAGATCAAGAATAAGATAAAGCCAATTCTGTTAAATGTTCTTGATACTTTTAGTTAAGTTATTTGTTTTTTTTTAGTTATTACAATTGTTGATCTCCCACTGATGTGTGCTGTCGTTGTGTCCTTGGGCAAGACACTTAACCCCACTTTGCCTGAAGTTCCCACTGAAAGATCTCAGCTCCTGTGGACTCACCACCTGCAGGGGGATCAGTGAGGGGCTGGTGCTCTGTGTACTGGGTGCAGCTCTGACTGCCACCCCCCCGACCCAGAAATGGATTAAGGGGAAGAAAATGGATGGATGGATGGACAATTGTTGATGTGATATTGTTTTTATCGCTAATAGTTTTGTTGTTGACCAATGACAAAATAAGTTAATACAATAATTAAACAAATCGCTATAATTGAGTTAAAATCCCTCCAGAGACAAATGAGAGTTTTCATAAATACATATATAACACGTTTTACTAATGAGTTTCATGTAATAATGTACTGCAGACCATTCCAAGCGATGCAATGATGAATTATAAAGTCTAAGTTCTCCTGCCCTCTAGTGGACATATTACAACCTCACATAACAGGATATTATTTGATAGCCCATGTTTTGGACCCTTCAACATGTGTGTGTAAATCTTTATTTAATGCCAATATTATATTTCAGAGCTCGTGGCTGTGTCATCTGCTCTATCATTTGCATTGTTATCCAATTCCGACAAATGTTCAGGCCCACTCTGAGCGACACAATGACGTCACCACATCTGGCTCCCATTTTTCAGACTTCCCCTAAATGACACAAAGAGATCCACATTTCACAGTCATCACCCCTTATAAATCCTAAAACTTAGTAAACACTTGCCACACCAAGTGAAATGACAATGATTGTTATTTATACATATCGATATTAGCTGCAGCACCTTCTTAATGCTATGTTGGTTATTATATGCATCTATCAAATTGTAAAAATGTAATGTAAAAATGCTAAATCACACCTATAGAAAATCTGCAATTGAAAAAACATCTGTACTTCTCTGCAGGACCTGGACACATGTTGTCTTCTCATAGAGTGAGGACATAAAAAG